GGTGAACAGAGGCGAGATGAGCGGTGCTCATGGGGGCAGGGTGAGGGGCAGGGCCTGCAGATGAGGGGAGACCAAGGGGCTAAATGATTGGGCACCAGGGAGAACTCAAGTTGAAGTGAGCCCCGGGGTTTTGGGACATTGATTACATTGCTCAGACCACCTGGGCTAAAAGACTCGACATAGGTGTGTGAATGAACGAGTGGAACATCAGGAGGTAAGTGGGCAAGGAAGGAAATGAACAGGAAGTGACCCTGGAGAATCTGTGGAGAATCTGTAGGAATCGAACTCAAGGCCTTGGGCATGCTAGGGAAGCACTCTATCCCTGAGGTCTATCCCTTGCCCTCCTCATTATTAATTTAAATATTGTACATAACTAATATATACATCTATACAACGCATGTGTATAATATTATTTGATCTCATAAAGTTGCTATTTTACTCATGTGGGCAGCATTCATTTCATTCACGATGCTGTGTGATGCACCAGACAGTTCTTCATAATGGGTAGGCATACTGTTTTTGAAATCCATCTGCACAGTAGTGTAAATGAGAGCCCCATTCCATTTTTAGGACAGCATAATATTCCACTGGCTGTAGAGGTCACACTGGTTTATCCTTCATTGGTGGCTGGCTTGTGTGAGTTATTTCCATCTCTTGGCTGCTGTACACGATGCCGCCAGGAGCATGGGGAGGGGTGCATCTCTGTAGAGTCCTGGCCGTCAATTCTGTGCGAACAACAGTGGAATTGCTGCCTCATAGAAAAATGAATCTTTCTTTCTTCCTTCCTTCTTTCTTTTTTTTGTCGGTGGTGGGGCTGAACTCTGGGCCTGGGCGCTGTCCCTCAGCTCTTCAGCTCAAGGCTAGCACTCTACTACTTGAGCCACAGCACCACTTCCAGTTTTTCTGAGTGGTTTATTGGAGATAAGAGTTTCACGGACTTTTCCTGCCCGGGCTGGCTTTGAACCATGATCCTCAGATCTCAGCCTCCTGAGTAGCTAGGAAGACAGGCGTGAGCCACTGGTGCCCGGCCGAAAATGAATCTTGATCCTGACTTCCACAGGATCTTACGCTCTCACCAGAAGTGCACACAGATTCCCATTGCTCAGGTCTCACGGAATTCATTCTCTGGTGCGTGTGGGTTTCATGGAGAGCCAAAGGCAATGGGTGTGCTCCAGGCCTCTGGGTGGTTTTCTTTCTCATTTCCCTAGTGATGAGTGATGTCAAAGGTCTTTTCACTTGCCATTGGCCGGTCTGTGTCTGCCCAGGGCTTTGCCCGGCTTTCACTGGGTTGTTGCACTGTGGTTGAGTCTTCTCTTGGCAGTTCTGCAGGTTCGAGCTGTTGTGTCTGCAGGTTGTCCACAGTCATGTGCTGCTCAAGCAACGCTACGATGTGTTCTGTGGCTCACATGTGAGCACAGGATGGCTGGATCCCCAGCCGTGGGATGGTGACTTGGAGAGAAGGTGCTCTCCCGCTCAGGTGTGTATGGGGAGGCGCGGTTAGCCCCACTCCCTGGTACAAGGCCAAGAAGCAGCTTTGAACCAAACTCGCTGTTCTCAGTGCCCCGCAGACTCTGTCTTCCTTGGAGATGCTAAGCTGACATTTCTTAATGCCCATTAAAACATTGGCCTAACATTGTACTCGGTGAAGGGATTTGCAACTTAATTGCATTTGTTCATAAAACAGAATTAATATTGAGTGAATAACTTGCCATCCAGAGAACTAATTCTGACCCTGTACTATGACAAATCTATTTATGCTTTAAAATCCTCTCAAAGAAAAAAAAAAAGAGCACCCATTTGAATAACGGAATGACATGAAAAAAGTCAGATTTATTCACTTATAGGTCTACCAATCGTACCACACACTATGAAGTTTATTTTTCCTCCATTTACCCCCTCCCCCCTCTCCCCCACTGGTATGGCTACAAAAATACCCAACTGAAAATTCTTTCTCTCTTCTCAAGAGGGTCTAACAAAGCTGGGTGTCAATAGCTCAGGCCTGTAATCCTAGCTACTCAGGAGGCTGAGATCTGAGGATTGTGGTTGAATCCAGCCTGGGCAGAAAAGTCTGTGAGAATTGTATCTCCAATTAACTGGCAAGGGCTGGGAATGTGGCTTACTGGTAGAGTGCTTGCCTTGAGCAAAAGAAGCTCAGGCAGGTCAGTGCCCAGGCCCTGAGTTCAAGATCCAGGACTGGCAAAAACAAACAAAAATCCAATTAACTAACAAGAAGCTGGAATTAGAGCTGTGGCTCGCATGGTAGAGTGCTAGCCATGAGAGAAAAAGCTAAGGTACAGTGCCCAGGCCCTGAGTTTAAGGCTCTGAATTGCCCCTCCCCTCCAAAAGAGATAATAGAGTGCGCGTACACCAGTCTTCATTCATGTACCCTGCACTGGTTCAGAGGCTCAGTTGGAGATCTGTGTATAAAACCCATACCTAACCACACACGCCTTCAACTTTAATCAAGAAGGAAGCTAAACCTAGTTATGAGCAAATCAGGACCCAATTAAAAGAGAGAAATCGATTACAAGCACATTAACTACATTATATTAATGTATGTTTGTAATTAACCACTTACAGTTTTCAAGACGAAGGGAGATATTTTTTAAGGAGTAGAAAGTCTCATAAGTGAGCCAACTTATAAATAAAGCCAGGAGGGCAAATCTCGCCTGCTCTTCACAGCAGTTGATGCAATATTTATACTAAAAGATAATAAAGACGTATGCAAATGAAATGTGATGGGACAGCCCAATCAGGATCAATTAAAGTCACAGAAGGTACACCGGCTTTTTGCTCTCGCGGGAAGCAGCTTTCTGTAATCGCTGCTCTTCTGTTTTTCTCGCAGACAGCCTTGCCATTTATCTGTCCTAGCACCCCCTCTCGGAAGTGTCCCCCACTACCCCCCCTCCCTGCCCTGCCCCAGCTCTCCAGCCACACATTTCACTATGGCAGAGGGCTCTGAAACCAGGTGTCTTCTGCTGCCCTGGCCTTGGCCCTCCTCTCTGAGGATGGTCCCGGATGCCCCCACCTCCTCCTCAGCACCTTGGGGTTCACACACAAGACTTGCCCAGGTGATCCACTTGCTGACACGTGTGGGACCCACTGCCCTGTAAAGATCACCCAGACTCTGCTTGCCATCCATCATCCATCTACCCTCTGTCATGCGTCTACTCATCATCCTTCCATCTATCCACGACCCATCCATCCATCATCCATCCATCATCCAACCATCCATCATTCTCCCATCCATCCATCATCCATCCATCCATCTACCCATCCATCCATCCATCATCCATCCATCCATCCATCCACCCACCACCTACCCATCCATCCACCCACCACCTACCCATCCATCTATCCATCCACCCACCACCTACCCATCCATCCATCCATCCACCCACTACCTACCCATCCATCCATCCATCCATCCATCCACCCATCATGCATTCACTCATCATCCTTCTATCTATCCATAACCCATCCATTCATCATCCATCCATCATCCAACCATCCATCATCCATCCATCTACCCACCCACCCATCAATCCATCTGTCATCCATCTACCCATCCATCATGCATCCACTCATCATCCTTCCATCTATCCATCCATCACCCATCTATCCATTTATCTATCATCCATCCGTCTAGTATCCATCTACCCTCCTACCTGTCCATCTATCCATCAATCTTTAGCATTTATTGATACCTATGCCAGATACTGAGTCTATACATCATTTTTCCCTAATGTTTTAATTTACATTTAACCACTGTGTGTTTGCACGTGTGTGTGTGTGTGTGTGTGTGTGTGTGTGTGTGTGTGCATGCACGTGCGCACATGCACTGGTCCTGGGGTTTGAACTCTGGCCTCACATTCTTGCATAGGTTTTTCACTCAAGGCTTTGACACTCGAGCCACAGTTCCACTTCCAGCTTTTTGCTTGTAAATTGAAATTAAGAGTCTTACAGACTTTTTTGCCTGGGCTAGCTTTATATTATGATCCTCAGATCTCAGCCACCTGAATAGTTAGGATTATAGGCATAAACTGCCAGTTTCCTGCATGTCTTGAACCGAAACATTTGTTTTAAATACCATGGATGCATGGGGTAGGTACATTATGTCTAATACCTATCAAAACAACTCTTATTTATTTTTTTGGGGGGGTTCAGTCATGGGGCCTGAACTCTGGGCCTGGGCGCTGTCCCTCAGCTCTTCAGCTCAAGGCTAGCACTCTACCACTTGAGCCACAGCGCCACTTCCAGTTTTCTGAGTGGTTTATTGGAGATAAGAGTCTCACAGACTTTCCTGCCTGGGCTGGTTTTGAACCACTATCCTCAGATCTCAGCCTCCCAAATAGCCAGGATTCCAGGCGTGAGCCACCGACGCCCAGCTGTGAACCACTTTTCTAATGGGCTGGGCTGCTCGTCGGTGGGGGTGTGCATGGTAGGCTAATGGCCAAGTGGCTTGAGAATTATTACTAAGGCTGAGTGTAGTGGCACAGGTCTGTAATCCCAGCTACTGGGGACATAGAAATAGGAGGATTACTGTCCTAAGGCTAGCCTAGGACAAAGTTAGTGCAAGATCTTATCTGAAAAGTAGACTTAAAACAAATTGGGGGGAGGAGGGTGTTGGTGGCAGGGTTTAGGTTTGTCTTAAATGTCTTATAGGCAGAAGTTCTAGAATTCATTGGTTTCTGCTTAATGGGACTGGAGCCAACTGGGGGCTCGGATCCGTGGGGTGGGAGAGTCTGGCCTCGGTGTGGGCTCTGTGCCTTTCTCTGAACCAGAGTGTCTCGCCTCGGGGTGGTTTGGGGGCCCCGGGGGCCCTCGGCACTGTCCGAGGACAGGTTTGGCGGTTAGACCTTGGGGAACGTCCTGGTGTCTTGGGGTTGAGGCCAGGTCGCTGCTCAGCACCTCCCAGGGCAGAGCGCAGGAGGGACTGGCATTGCTGGGTCGTGGGGGGCAGCGGCTGACCTGCCTGCGTCTCTCTGTCCTCTTTGCAGGTTCCGCTCCCTTCATTGTCTCCTCTACCCGGAAACGCCCTGGTGTCCCCAGCTGGTGGCCCGATGACCTGGAAGTGTCGGGCAAAGGTGGCCCCAGGCTTCAGGCTGCCCCCCAGCCCCCGCCTCCCAGGACAGGGCCGCGGGTGGCGGGAAAGGCCCAGTTCTCAGTGGGGGCTGCCGTGGAGGGTGTCGCAGCCAGAGGGGCAGGCCGTGGCCGCGGAGGCTCGCGCAGGCTCCCGAGGCGGCAGGCAGCTGCGTGGATTGAGGGCAGCAGGTGGATGCTAGGCCGGGGCCCGGGGCCCCTGCCCTCAACATGGGTCCTGGTTGGGTCTAGCCTGGGCTCCTGGCTCTGGTTAGTCCCTAGTGCTCCGCTCCCTGGGTCTGATCTCGTGTCACTGAAGGAATGCAGAACGGATGACCGCCGCAGAGCTGGCTGCGTCAGTGCCCCGCACCAAGTTCTGCTGAGAGGCTCAGCATCCTTAGCCCGAGGAGACTGCTCAGGATGGCTGCCAGACAGTGGAGACAGGGCTTCTGCTGGCTTTCCCAGCCTCCCTGGCTGTGTGAGGCTGCTGAATGATCCAGCCTCTGACCAATCAGAAACCTAAGCAAAGCTGACAGAGAAGTTTTTGAAGGTGTGAGGGAAGTGTGGCGAATGTGAAGGTGGATGTGATGGCTGGATCTGGGGAAGCCACGTTGCCACCATGAAGGAAAAGCCAACACAATCCTCCACAGCTATCCCCTCCAATGAAGGATTCTATATGAAATTAAAGCACTGGTTTAATTTAAGTCTCTCTTGGTCTAGATTTCTGTAGTCTGCCCAATTTCCCGGTCTAGCCAAAGTCTTTGGCTTGGGGTGCTGGTCCCAGGACCCTGATTTTTGGCCTACCTGTGGCAGTGGTGGTGTGAGAAGAGACGCTGTGCTGAGCCTGGTTCAGAGAGCAGTGAGTGCGGACGGGCGCGACGTGGGCTTCCTGCCCCTCTAGGCGGAGGGGTGTATGGGGCGCGTGGGTGTCCCCCGTGTGCCTGAGGTGTGCTGAGCCCTTGCTGGGCGGGTCCCCCCTCGGGGTGGGGCTCAGCACCCCAGGGAGGCCGAGGGCCACCCTTGAGCATGTCTGTCAGGTGTGCCGCGTTCGACAGCCAAGGCAGGTGCTGGGGGGAAATCCATGTTTCTCTAGAACTTCTGGTCTCATGCCAGGCTCCGGTGGCTCAAGCCTGTCACCTACTCAGGAGGCTGAGATCTGAGGATCAGGGTTCAAAGCCAGCCCAGGCAGGAAAGGCCATGAGACTTTTTTTTTTCTTGGTCGGTCGTGGGGCTTGAACTCTGGGCCTGGGCGCTGTCCCTCAGCTCTTCAGCTCAAGGCCAGCGCTCTACCACCTGAGCCACAGCGCCACTTCTGGTTTTCTGAGTGGTTTATTGGAGATAAGAGTCTCATGGAGTTTTCTACCCGGGCTGGCTTTGAACCTCGAACCTCAGATCTCAGCCTCCTGAGTAGCTAGGATGACAGGTGTGAACCACAGACACCAGGCCCGTGAGACGCTTATCTCCAATTAACCACCAGAAAACCAGAAGTGGTTCTGTGGCTCCAAGTGATAGAGTGCTAGCCTTGAGCAGAAGAGCTCAAGGATCAGTGCTCAGGCCCTGAGATCCAGTCCCATGACTGACCAAAAAAAAGCTGGAAGTAGAGCTGTGGCTCAAGTGGTAGAGCACCAGCCTTGAGCTAAAAAGCTAAGGGACAGGCTGGCACAAGGAAAAAAATAATTCTGGTCCCAAAGAGGTGGGGCCACGGCGGCCTCTCCTCCCTGGCCGTGCGGAGTCCAGTTGGGGGCTCTGAGCTGGCCGGGCCGGTTCTTCCCCTGGGCGCACGGCCGGGCCTCCCAGCGCCCCAGCGCCGTGGCCCCAGCTGCTGCTCCCCTCCGCGCGGCAGGCTGCCGGCCGGCTGGCCTGGTTTTTGAAGCAGCAGCAGATTCTGGGGTTGTTCCGGGATCAGGAGGGTCGGCTGGAGGGAAGAGGACTCTGGCCATCTGCTGCCTCTATTGTCCCAGAATAGCTGGGGAAGTGGGGGAGCTGAGTCAGCAGGGGGGGAGCAGGGAAGGGGGGCAGCTGGGTTTAACCCTCTGTGAGCCTGTGTGCAAGCTCTGAAGCGGCCTGTGACAGTGCTAATGGATCCCCCCCCGGAGGGTAGGTGTGTAAGAGGGGGCCCCCGTGACCCCGTGACTCTTCAGCCTCCTTACTTTTTTGGTGTGTGCCCATATTGGGGGTTGAACTCAGAGTCTGGGCACTGCCCTTGAGCTTTTTTTTTTTTTTTTGCTGAAAGCTGCTAGTGCCCTACCACTTGAGCCACAGCTTCATGTCTGGCTTTTTTTTATGTCTGGACTTTCCTGCCCAAGCTGGCTTTGAACCCTGATCCTCAGATCTCAGCCTCCTGAGTAGCTAGGATTACAGGCGTGAGCTTCCAGTCTCAGCCTCTTTACCCTTAGCTGGAACGCTAGGCCTGTTGTGTCCTCTCTAGAGTGAATAAGTTGTGGGCTACAGGTGGCATTGACCCTTGGGCCCCAGGGTGAGGTGGCATTACAAGGGACCCCTGACCCTTGGCCGGCCCCTCCTCCCCTGGGGGAGTGGGTGGGGACCCAGGGTGAACCCGCCCCCTCCCAGCCTTGAGTGGACTGGGTAGACACCACCCTGAGGCTGGGGACAGACATCTTTACCCTGATGTGGACATAGATATTGCTGGAAACAGAGATGTTAATAAAGTCATCAGATACTTGCTGTGCATTAACTCTGGCCTGAGCACTTGAGGTAAGTTGCGTCATTCCAACTTTCCCTATTTGGAGCAGATTTTTCACACAATTTTACAGATTAAGAAACTGAGGCACCGGTGGCTCATGCCTGTCATTCTAGCTACTCAGGAGGCTGAGATCTGAGGATTGTGGTTCAAAGCCAGCCTGGAAACAAAAGTCCATGAGACTCTAATCTCCAATGAACCACCAGAAAACTGGAAGTGGTGCTGTGGCTCAATGGTAGCGCACTTGCCTTGAGCTGAAGAGCTGAGGGACAGTGCCCAGGCCCAGAGTTCAAGACCCATGACTGACACCACATACATACACACACACACACACACACACACACACACAGAAACTGAGGCACAAAGGGTGGAGGCTCTGTGAGCCAGGGCTCAAGCCTGAGGCAGTGGGGGGGGGGCTTTGGAGGAGGGGAAAGCCTTATCAGGCCTGGATACCACCCTCCACCCTTCCACACCTGCTGTGTGGGCACAGGGCACCTGCATGACACACTGAGAAGCTTCCAGAAAGTTCGGATATGGATGTTGTTCACTCCCTGTGAGTGGGGTGGCCAGGGGGACTGGCCTGGTGACCACCTGCACCCCAGCTGGGTCCCGCTCACCCTCCCTGGTGCCTCCTGCTCTCCCCCAGCACGGGCCAGGCTCTGCCTGGACAGCCACTTCCTATCGGCCAGTGTGCTCTTGTCAGGCCCTGTCCCCTGGCCCTTCCCCTGGCCCCTGGCCCTTCCCCCAACCCCCATCCTCTGTCCCCGCCCACATCCCTTCCCCTGTCCTGGCCCTTCCCCCAACCCCCATCCTCTGTCCCCACCCCCATCCCTTCCCCCCTCCTCTGTCCCTTCACCTGGGTCCATGCAACCTGCTGTCCCACAGGTGGGGCTTCCCCCCCCATGCTCCGGCAGCTCAGGATCCATGAAAGGTGGGGACAGCTCTGGTGGGGGTGTCGAGGTGGGGACTTCATACACAGGACCAGGGGGCAGCAGAACCTGCTAGTCATTTGTTTCTTTTTTTTTGTTGGTCGT